TCTGTTTTCTAGTCCATTAATGTTCTCTTGCATCTCGTCCATTCTGCTTTGAAGTCCTTCCAGAGATTGTTTTATTTCTGTTTTCTCCCTCCTTAGTTCTTGCGTATTTCTCTGCAAGTCCATCAGCATGGTTATGACTTTTGTTTTGAATTCTTTTTCAGGAAGACTGGTTAAATCTATCTCCCCATGTTCCTTCTCAGGGGAAGATGTAGAAGATGTCGAAGCTGTCTGGGTTAGTCTTGTCTGGATCATATTTTTTTTGCCTGTTCATGTTGATAGGTGCAGTGGTATGCTATTGAAGCGTCAGTCAGCTGGGATAGCCTAGACTTTCTTAAGTTGCTCCTGGCCTTTCTTTACTGGGACAACTGCGACCCCTAGTGGCTTTTGTTGGGCAATTGCATGTAGACTGGGTTTCTGTATCTTGGGCGGCCAGTATGGAGGAAGCTCCCTTGCCCTGAGCGTGGCCAGCCTCAGGCTGCTGCTCTGCTATGGCGGGGCCTTGGAGTGGTAATGGACGGGGGCTGTTTGGCTGTTTACCTCCATGAGGGGACTCAGAGCTGTTGCCCTGGGGGTTAGTGCGCCCGGAGTTCCCTGAAATTTTCAGCCGCTGGACTGTGACCCGGAATGCTTCCGTCCAGCTTTGGGGTCCCTGTCCCTTTAAGAATTTCAAAAAGCACTCGCTTTTCTTTGTCCCAGGAGCACCGGCTGCGGGACCCACTCACAGATCTTACTGTCCTGCTTCCCTAGTTTCTGGCACCCCACGGATGCACTTTGTGTCTGTGCTCTGGTGCTGATGGCTAGGGCTGGGTGTTTAGCAGTCCTGGGCTCCCTCTCCCTCCCCGCTCCGACTACTCTTTTCCCGCTGGGCGCTGGGGTGAGGGGCCTCAGGTCCCGCTGGGCTGCGGCTTGTATCTTACCCCTTTCACCAGGCGCTGGGTTCTCGCATGTGTGAATGTAGTCTGGCTGTTGTCCTGTGTCTTCTGGTCTCTCTTTTAGGGATAGTTGTATTTGTTGTATTTTCAAAAATATATATGTTTTTGGGAGGAGATTCCCACTGTCCTGCTAACGCCACCATCTTGGCTCCACCTCTCATTACCACTTTCTCTGCAGTGTTTTCTAAGGTAGAGAGGTCAGGAGTTTTTGCAGGACCCCTGGAGCCAGGGCATCCCAAGCTGGTTGAGCCCTTGGCCTCCTCATCTAGGCCTGCACAGAAGGGATATGCCCTTTTGCTCAGTGACCTTTTCCCTGTCCTGGAAAAAAAATTCTTCAGGCACTGGAACTGTTACCAGAGGCAGGTCCTTGGTATTGTGAGAAAGGACTCAAGAACAGATGCAGAAAAAGCCATTGAACATTAAAGAGTTTATTTGGAGAATAAAAGTTCAGACAAAGAGAAAAGTATACATCCGAGAGTTGGGGCACTGGCAGACCTAGTGGGAGTCATGCTGAGGAAACATCTGGGAGCCTTTTTATACACAGGATGATGGGTATTCACTAAGTGGGATTAGGTTTCAAAGGGAACAGGTGGTGTCTTCTAGGCTTGCTCCACCTTCCTGCAGTCGGGGGAGTTTTTTTGATTATATTTGGTTTTCCTGGAGCTTTCAAGGCATAGAGGGAGGTGTGATTTCTACTATGTTAATGACAGAGGGGTGGGGATTTTACTTTGTTAGTGAGTGTATAATGTACTTTGGGGTGAAGTTTGGGTCAACTTTTCTTCCATGTTGGAACCAGCCAATTTTGGCCTGTTATCTCTATTCTCACTCCCCTCATCCCTGAGAACAACTTACACAGAAGATGTAGAATGTAAGCAAGCATTTAGCCTAGTGTGAGCATCAACCAAAGTCCCCCTCTGCCTCCCTGCTCATCTCTGGCTGTCTACCTGCTCTAACAGAGCTGAAAGGCTAGCTCTGGGAATCAGGGAAGACGATCTGAAGCAAAGGGTGCAGCTAATTTTTGCAGATCTGAACTGAAGGGGAACTAGAATTTCCCAGACTTGAACCAGTAACACATCACTGTGCTCTGACCTGCCCCTATGCTAACCTCCTTCCATGTCACTGAGGAGACTGATTTGAGCCTTGCCACCTATCTCCTTGCTCGGCCACCTCACTGTAAATTCTGTCTGCTAATGACCATGGATCAAGAGATTGGCTTTGCATTGCCAACCAGTCCCTGGACAAGCAGACCTGGTTCAATTTGGTTTCAAAGGCAGTAAATCTGCAGCAGATTTATATTATAGACATTCTGGGGGTCCTCCTTGTGCTTACCAGCAAAATTATCAGAATAATGAGAATGGGAAAAAGAAGGAGGGATTGTAGATTGCACCTGTACCTGGGCCATGCCCAGCAGCACACACCTTACTCCATGCAGAGACCCTTTGGGTGTTGACCAGAGTATTCCCACCCACCTGTTCAGGGAGAAGTGGTGAGGGTGCTGATGACCAGGGTGCAGGAGAACAGAGTAGACCAGGGAGACACATTATCCATCAGGGTTTTAGACCATGATTCTCTAGGGCCCTTCCTTGCCTTGGACAGCAATGAAGAGGAGCAGAAAACTCAAGAAGAGACCCAAGGTCACAGCAGCCACCTCAATGTAGGTACCCCCACAGACATCCAGAACACCCTAAACCACAAGATGGCAAAGAGACCACAGCTGGGAGGTGTTCTCCAAGGCTGAGCAGGGAGAGGCTGAGTGGTGGCTTACCATATCTGTCACCATCTGGCTTAGTCACCCAACAAGCAGAAATGAATCTGAAATTCCGGCAATAAGACCTAAAGACTGGTACCAAAGACCTTAAGTGCCTGCTTTTGCCCATTCACTAGATAACTAGAACTATCTAAATTGTAGAATTTTGATTATTTTTCCCTAAAGACATCATCTTTTTTATTGTTGTTAATGACCAACATGATTTAAGTCTGATTTTTCTCATACACTTTTAAAGATTTTTAAATTGTTTCATATCTGTTCAAGTCGAGAATATGAAGAACCTCATTTTTAACTTGGAGTAAAACTTGATAATTTGATTTTTTTTCACAAAAGTCAACACACTGCAAGTATATGTTAATACGTCAATAATAGTAATAATAATAAGCAATACCAATACAGACACAGTTTGGCTTAAAGAGCTGTACTTTTCTAGACTTTATGTATTATATGTTCTTCAACAAGAGTTTTCTTATGTCTTGGTGATGAGACATTATGGAATATTATGCATGAAATATAGTAAACATTTTTCTCATTTAACTTTCTCCATTAAGGGCAAATGAGGAGCAGCAGCATTTCACCATTCGATCTTTTAATATTGCTAGCAAAGAACTGAATATAGAGCAAAATCTGAAATTCTCCTTTTGGATAAAATGAGAGTTCCTGTGGCCAGGATTCTCACCTGGCCATGGTTGACTAGCTCACTGCACACCTGTGGGCAATACATGGCTGTTGACTCTATATAAAGTGCTCCACCTAGTACTCTGGGCACGACATGGTGGCAGGGCTGCAAGGCTGCAGGAGAGCAGAACAGAGGCTGGAGTGGTGGCAGCTCCGAGGACAGAGGCCCAGAGGATGGCTGTGCTGGACGGCTGTGCATGCAGAGAGGCCTGGAGGACAGCTGTGCGGGATGGCTCTGCGGGCAGAGGGGCCCAGAGGCAGAGACCAGCTTGCTGCATGCAGACTCTCTCTGAGTGAACGGGATTTTAGTGACTGACCTGCCACCTGGAAATAAAGTTGGGTATAACCCTTTCACCCCAAGAACGTTTTGCTGTCATTTTCTTTGGTCACACTGAATCCATAATGAACTTGCCCGGGGCTGAAACCCATTGGCAAGACACTCCTCCTAAAGGAGAATCATAGAAAGTGTATGGCAGTTATTTATGCTTTCTTAACATTTCACTCACCATTGCTTGGGCATACGTGACTCCTTTCCAGGGCCAGGGGAACAGCACTCTGTCCTCACTCTCAGAATTGAGTGATTATACACGAGTTTGCTGGGGCGTTTTTCCTAATGGAGAACTCCACTAAGAATGGAATGAGACTTGAAGACTTGCAGCTGATTATCTTAGCTGTGTCAGAGCCACAACCCCAAATCCTGATTGCAAAAATTTGCACTGTTGTATTTACCTCCCCTGGGGACATAATTACTTTCTCCATGGTCCCTAGGACTTGAATTGACATAAACAAAAGCATTTCCCCACCACCCTCTCCTCCATGTGTGGCAAAGCAAGTTGCATTTATGGCAACTAGAAATTCCCTCAGCTTGGTCCTTGGTGGCTGATGACTGCAGACTGGCTTGAAGGCTTGTGCTGGTACAAATCAAAGAACTCAGCAGCTCTGCTTTTTGCTGTTTTTGGCAGAAAACACTGCTTCTTGTCATCCATCTTCCTCCACCAGAAGCCTGAGATATGAGGCATGACCTGGTTGTTGAAAGTACTCAGTGCCACAATAACCAGGAGAGGTACTGTCTTACCTTTTCCTCCTCGTGACTGAGGGAGTTAGACCAGAGTAGATGGATTGTTAAACCTTCTGAGGGATTGTGCAGTTCCTCCTAAAATACATACTCTTACCTGGTCTCTAAGATTACTTCTGACTTTCTTAGTTTTTTGCAAATGGGCTGTGCCATAGTTTACATGCTCTCTCTGTCCTTCTGCAGGCCTGATATTTTTTCTGCTCTGTTTCAGGACTCATTGTCGGGGTGATCCTGAGGTATGGCACCCCTGCCACCAGTGGTCATGACAAGCCCCTCAGCTGCACCCAAGAAGACAGGGTCTTCAACACCTTATTAGTGAATGTCAGTGGGAAGTTCTTCGAGTACACCCTCAAAGGAGAAATCAGCCCTGGCAAGATCAACAGTGTAGAGCAGAATGATATGCTGAGGAAGGTGAGCTGGGGACACTCACCCAGTGTTGTCTTGATGTGGTTTTTGATTTTCCAGTTCCATCCTGACCTTGTGGAAAGAAATCCTTTCAAACTTCTGGAGCATCAGTAACATTTCTGGCTTTCAGTTTTGCTAGGAAGCTTTTGGGCTATGATGAGAAGACAGAACCAGATTTGAACTTGAATCTTTCAGCTTTATTAGGATCAGTAGCTGACATGGGCCACTGATTCTGCAGTGGGTTTGTACATTGCCACTCAGCCCACCTTTCAAGCCCCAAACTCTTCTTTTATCATATCTTATTATGATGCAGACATGAGATTGTTCCTTTCTTAAAACAAGATAGCATCCACTTCTAGCTTCTTTATTCAGTGTACAGAAGTGTAATTCTTAGTTTCTCATGGTTCTTTTGCTATGCTCTACAAATATTTATTGAGTGTCACTTACATTGGTAATTGATGCCAAAGGCTTAATGAATTTTCAGAGGAAGAGTATCTTGGTATCTTAGAATTTGAGTCTAAACATTGTTTTTTATTTGATGTTGGGGATAGCTAAAATGTACCACAGGAAAAGTGATTATATATCTCCTCAGGTGATTTCCATGATAGGCAAGAGAGCTGTATTTGTCCACATACATTCTATCACCTTATAGACCTGGACTTAGCAGCAGAAAGGTTCTATATAAAGTCTAGAGGATCCAGGTTGTGGGAAGCCCATTTTAATATAGAACAAGGCTAATGTGTATGAAGGCCTGTAGTCAAAGGCAGTATAGTGTGCAATAATTTCCAAAAATTAATTTATATTGTGTTCTGGATCTATCCTAGTCCTTAAAGAAAATTATTCTCAACTGCAGCATTAAGCGTGCCTATATTTTCCGTGTCCCTAATGACAGTTCTAGTGAACTCTTTCCTCTCAATACTTCATAAGAATGCATAGAATTTCCATAAACATTTGAGAAATTAAATGCAACTGAGAAAGATTCTCAGTGTAAATGCCATGCTAATGGCAATTTTGAAATGGCAACATAAATTCAGACCTAATAGGATAGGGGCAAAAAGGGAAGAGATCCCAACCCATTTCCATCTTTTAGATCATAATAGAAGATGAAGCTGACTTTCAGTATTATCTTTAGAAAAATGTTATTCAAATCCTCTCTGTTGAAACTTGCCACACAAAGCAAAGGTAGGAGAACAAACAAGGCTGAGATTATTGCTGTTAGTTGAGGGGAGAAGCAGCATGTTGAGGCAGCTTGATGCAGAGTATCAATGTGGGTATCAGGTAACCTTGTGCTGGTTCATACATTACTGGGTTTGATGACTTCCCGCAGGTTCTACTCTCTTTGGCCCAAGTGTCCTCATACTGGGTATTGTCCAGGGTCCCCTCTCATTCTGACATTTCATACTTTTCAGACTACTATTATCTTAGCAAGAAGTTTGAATAAAACATAATTTGAGTTTGTGTGTGTGTGTGTGTGTGTGAAAAAAAAGAAAAAGAAAAAAAAACATAATTTGAGAGGACCATTCAATTTTTTAATTAGGCTGATTAACATTTACAGTTTCTAAAGAGAAATACTAACTTTACTTTTAATAATTAGAATGAAGCTTTAAAAATAATTGAAAGATGAGCCAATTAATCTACCAGCCTGAACAAACACTTTAAAAAGGTTAGGAGGTTTATAAAATTCCTAATTTTTTTTCTGGATGTGATAAGACTTTGCTGTCTAATAGTTTCAGAGGGATTTCCCTGAATCAACCTGTAGTTAATTTCAGTCCCTTATTGCTGCTGAATTTATATTGATGTTCAAGAAGCCAATAACATCACAAGAGACTTTGATCTAGGCCACATCAAGTATCACAAAAGGCTGGTCCCTCAAAAGGAAACTTAAATTCAGCAGAATTATGTCTATAAATGATTCTGTGGAAGGATCCAGAAAATTTAATATAGAGAATCATGAGTGTATCTTTTATTGCAGTTGAACCTTTATAAAGGTTTGATAAAAATCAGGATTTATTTCTTGTTTAAAAACATTGATGAGAAGCTTTCTGTGAATTCTCAAAATTGTATTGAACTGTTTGTTGTGTGTTAATTCATATTAAACAGTACACCAGGAGCAGAAGTCAGAAGTGCTCTGTGGAGAAGAGCATGCCAGTCCATAGGGGAGCTGTGGCTTCTCTTTGGTGATGGATCCATGATATTTCAAATTTATGTTATTTGCTTTAAATATTTAAGCTTTAGTCAATGGCTTAATATATTAAGCAAACATTATAGCAGTAATTGGTACTAAACTAAAAATTGGCTTTTTTTTCTTACTAAACTTTTAGGTAACATTTGATCCAGAGGTTTTTTTCAATATTCTGCTGCCTCCAATTATTTTCCATGCTGGATACAGTTTAAAGAAGGTAAGAGATTTTTGCCAGTATTTCTTAAAGCATGGGAATCTCTCTGTTATTCTCCCTACATAATTTTCTAGTTTTTTGCTTCTCCCAGATTGCTCAATACTGTGTTATGCACCCACTCAGACTATATAGTTGACTCATCATCAGTGATTCATTTCTGTTTTAAAATCGGGAATTCTCATATGTTGCTGGTGGTAATGTAAAATGGTACAGCCATCCTGGAAAACAGTTTCACAGTTTTTTATAAAATTAAAGCTGAAATTACCATATGATTAAGAATTTTATTCCTGAGGATTTATTCCAGAGAAATGAAAACTTATGTTCACACAGCAACCTGTATATGATTATTCATAGCAACTTCATTTGTAATAGACAAAAACTGGAAACAACCAGAATGTCCTGCAATAGGTGAATGATTAACAAGCATCCATACCATGGAATACTACTCATCAATAAAATGGAGCAAATTATTGACAATCACAACAACCTGGATGGATCTCATAGGCATTGTGCTGAGTGAAAGGAATCCAATTTCAAAAGGTTAATACTGTATGTTGTCTTTGCAATTTCTGTGAATCTATAATTACTCCAAAATAAAAAGTTAAAAAAAAGTCTATCTTTGTTATTCAGGATTGTTGTGCTCAGCAGTAAGGCTGGATCTAAGTCTCTAGTTATTTAAAATACCAAATACCTTTACAAATAGTGTAAGTGAATCCCTTCTTCTCCCATTGTAGGTGTATTCTGTGAAAATTTAGCCTCCAAAAAGGCCTCCCTCAGATCAGCCAAGGAGCTTGTTTCAGCTGTTTTTCTGCATGGAGACTAAAGGAAGTCTTTTCAGTGAGCCTAGAGAATGGAGATCTTGGCTACCAATAAAACTTAGCAATATTCTTAGGAACTAGAGAATGCCTTCCAAATTGATAAAACCTCTACATAGAGCAATCAAGAAAAGAAATAGAGGAAAAAAACAAATGACCTATATCAGGAACGAAAGAGGGAACATCACTAAAGACCCTTCAGACATAAAAGGACAGTAAGGGAATACTTTGAACAGCTTTGTGCCAATAGACTTGACAATCCAAATGAAATGGACAAATTCCTTGAAAGATACAAATTACCAAAACTTGAAAGAGATAGAAAACTTGAACAGACTTATGTTAATTAAAGAAATTGAGTTTATAATTAAAAACCTTTCTACAAGTCCAGATGGCTTCACTTGTGAATTCTATCAAGCATTTAAGGAAGAAATTCCAGTCCTACACAAACTTTCAAAACATGAAGGAGAGAACAGTTCCCAGCTCATTTTATGAGAGGATGCCCGCCCATGAGGCTGGCCTGGATCTCCTGTCAAAGCAACTCTGCAGTTTTTAGAAGGTTTTAAAACTATTTCCAGACAACATAAATACAGTTATAGTTTATGGAGCATATATATTAGGAGCTTCACATATATTCTTTATTTCTGGTTGTATACACATTGTTTCCAATCACTGTATAAACTATTTAATAATGTAAGGGTGGTTGGAGTTTAGCTCATACCCCTTTTCCCCCAGGTTTCTAACTCATTGGTAAATAGACACAAGGAGCTAACTGGCAATTGAATGATTCATTTATGACCCAAAGTCCCTCGTGTCACATGTTGGATGATTTTAGCTTAGCCCTTAGTAATGAAGCCCCTTACTACCTACTGTATGAACTGAAGACAGATGCCCTTTAGCTGCCAGGCTGGTCACAATCACAGGTAGGGAGGCTGAAATGGAGAGACTCTAGGAATTGTTGGGCCTTCTGAAGCCTGATTCATTTGCTTACACCATGAAGGCTATAGGAGCAAGAGCAATACCCCATCTGGTACAAGAGGGTTAAGACTGCAAGTCAGGGTCAAATTGGTCTCTCCCTTTAGAGATTCTGCACACCAACCCACCTATTTGTGCACTCACAGACATGTAGGGAGTGTTCTGCATTTTACTGATGATGAAAAAAAAAACTCAGAGTGATTAATCAACATGTATGAGGTTATGTAGGTGGTGAAGGACTGAGTCAAGGTTATGCCCTGTCTGTCTAACCCCAGGGCTCAGGGTTGTTCCTTTGTGCTACACTCCCTCCATATTTAGGTTTTCTGTATCAAAAGACATATCCTTTTTCTGACTAATCTACAGGTTTGCCAAAGTCATCTGAATCTACATGTCAGCTATTGACATGTAACAGAGAGATGATTCTATAGGTATAAATAATGTTATTCTTTATCTAAATGAAGAATTTGGGAACTCCTTGTTGCACTTTGGGGAGGTATAAGTGAACCAACCCCTGAAGGCTGAAGGGGCTGTGAGACCAAAGAAAGAGGCTGATAAGTCCAGCTTGTACTTAGTGGTTTATTGAGGGGATCTTACCTACAGAAGCTTACCCTGGGTGGCTGATTAAGATCTTGGCACCACTTTTTGTTTAGGGAGGCTAATTTATAGAGGCAAGGAGGAAGGGTCAACACACAGGGGCCATCTGTGTGTTTAGTCAAAGCAGGGGCTGATGTACTACCAATGTTGTTAGTTCCAAGTGAGATTTTTTTTTCCTATTTGCTTTTAGTTCTGCACTTTATTTTTAATTCCATATAAATAAATACAAAATGACAAAGAGGTATATGTTTACCAAACATTACATGTGATTGTATGACGTTACACAGTGTATCACAATATTTTAGCTTCTAATCGCGTCCTTTAGCTGTTGGTGCATAATTCTATAACCCGTAAGATATAATTCATCTGAAAGCTGTATCAGCCATGCCTTAGTGAAATCCCTGAGTGCTTACACTTGCAAAAGTTTGTCTGAGGAGCATTAAGCCTCACTGGCTGAAGTCTAGAGAGTTTTTTGGAGACATCGAAAATAGTAAAAGAATAAGAGATGGAGAAGATTTTCTTTTTTGCATTCATAAAAGGCATGCAGGGATACAAATCTCAGAATACCACAACTATAGTTATTTCAAGTTTCAACATTGGACTCAGCATGTATATTTATAAGAATTATTCAGCAGTACAACTAATTCTTTCTAAAGTTCACTTTTTTAGCCATGGAAGGCTAATTGCCAAGGCCTAACAACATTCAGTACTACACCAGGACTTTTTTTGATATTTTCCTACAATATAAGGTCAATTAAAGTGAAAAATTGAATGGGCCTCTTCGCTAACAACCTTACATTTCTTAATTCATATAAATACAGACAAGATGGGATCTTGTATTTGATGGCTACCAATTCATGGGACTCAACAGTCTTACAGATTCAATATCTGTATTCCTGTTCAAACTCTTATGATTAGAACTTAATACATATTCTTTTAAGGCTCCTATCCCAGTGGATGTTTTTTAATTTGGTGACTTAAATGCTAGCACTCAAGGGAATTTTTGGTTTTTATGTACTTGTCAATCAGTGATGCTTTCTGTAGAAATGAAGATTTTCATGTGGATGATGAGTTATCATCTCCATGTAATACCCAAGAGAAGATAGCAGTTGTCCCCGAGAGGGAGGGGCCTAGCATCCTGAGCCATGCCTTGGTGATGAGAAATTTTAGTTTTCCCACCCCTCACTCTTCACTCTTGATTATTTTTCTAATCCTAAGAAGTGGCTTTTCCATCTTATAAAGTAAAACCATTGCCCCGACCCCAATGTTGAATAGACTGTCAGCACTCTCATCCCTATATAAGACTATCCATCCAAGTATGAAGCACAAATGAGACTGTGCTGCAGTGAGGTTTCAAACAGCAATCTCCTGATTTTTGTCATAACATGAGTTTTGTCCTGTTGCCCTGTTGATCTTTGTCAGCTGAAACGTGCTGTTCTTTATCCCATTTGGGATTCCAGCCAAAGCTAATACTTTTGGCAAAACTCATCAACTTTACTGAGGGGTGTGGTGAGCGAATCTAAAGATCCAAAATCATCATCTGTAATTCATTTTTTTTTGAGAGGGCATCTCTCATATTTATTGATCAAATGGTTGTTAACAACAATAAAATTCTGTATAGGGGACTCAATGCACAATCATTAATCAACCCCAAGCCTAACTCTCAACAGTCTCCAATCTTCTGAAGCATAAAAAACAAGTTCTTACATGGTGAACAACTTCTTACATGGTGAATAAGTTCTTACATGGTGAACAAGTTCTTACGTGGTGAATAAATTCTTACATGGTGAACAGTGCAAGGGCAGTCATATCACAGAAACTTTCAGTTTTGATCACACATCATGAGCTATAAACAATCAAGTCAGATTTGATTATTCATTTGATTTTTATAGTTGATTTATGTGTGAATCCCACATTTCTCCGTTATTTTTTTTTAAATAAAATGCTGAAGTGGTAGGTAGATGCACGATAAAGATAGAAAGCATAATTTAGTGCTGTAAGAGGGCAAATGTAGATGATCAGGTCTGTGCCTATAGACTAAGTATTAATTCAAGCTGGACAAGGGCAACAAAACATCCACGGATGCAGAAGATTTCTCTCAAAACGGGGGGTGAGGTTCTAAGCCTCACCTCTGTTGATCCCCAATTTCTCACCTGATGGCCCCCCTGTGACTGTGCCTGTCTTAGGTTGTTCTTCCCTTGAGGAATCTTACCCATCTCTGGCTAACCAGCTGTCTTCCGGGGCCATACAGGGAAATGTAAAGTTGTTAAGTGAGAGAGAAGCAATATTCTTTGACAAGGTT